CAAGTCCTACAGCTAGACAATTGAAGTATGAACTATTTCACAGACTCTATCTCCTTTAATCCTTACGCAAAGCTGCAGATATTTTGAAAACTCAGATCATGATGTGTATACTTTAGGCTTTGTGGGCTAATGTAATAGTTAGGGTTCTCCAGAGAAATAGAACCAATAGGATACACAGAGACACACACAGACACACACAGATACATAAATGTGAAATATGAAAAGACTTATTATGAGGCATTGACTCACTTGATAATGGAGGCTGAGAAGTCCCACAGTCTGGCACTGGCCATCTGGGAACCCAGGAAAACCGGTGGTGTAGTTTGAAGGTCTAAGAGCCAGGGAGCCATAGATTAACATCAGGGCATGAAAGCCTGAGATCCAGCAGCACCGAGGGCAGGAGACTGATGTCTCAGCTCCAGCACTCAGCCTGAGTCAATTCAACTTCCTCCATCTTTTATTCTATGCAGACCCTCAGTAGATCGGGTGATGCCTATCCTCACGGGACAGGGCCATCTGCTTCACACAGTCCACAGACTCAAATGCTAAGCTCCTCTGGAAACACCTCACAGATACACCCTGAAATCACGCTTAACCAGCCATCTGAGCATCCTGCGCCCCAGGGAGGAGGACACAAAAATTAACCATCACAGCCAGATAGCTACAGCAACAGCTCAGCTCTGCCATTGTAGCATGAAAATGGCTATAGACGCTCAAAATTGAATGCTCATGGCTGTGTCTTCATAAAACTTTATCTATGGAGATATTATGGGTGTTCTGGGGAGCTCCTCATCTGACACCAATTTATTCATTCACTCTTCAAATATTCGGTGAGCACTTACTCTTTGGAAAGGCATCATGCTAAACTGAAAGAAACTAAAATTAACAAGGCAGACGAGATCCCCAGATCCCGGAGTCGTGAGGACATGTGGATTGGTCAGCTCAGGCTTCCATAACAAAACCACAGACTGAGCAGCTTAATCAACAGAAATTATTTTCTCACCGGTCTGGAGACTGGGAAGGCCAAGAGCAAGGTTTGTCAGGGTGGGTTCTGGTGAGAGCTCTCTTCCTGGCTTGCAGATGGCCACCTTCTCACTGTGTCCTCGCATGGCCTTTTCGTCCAGCTCAAGCCTGATGAGACAGAGAAACGAAACTCTTTGATGTCTCTACTTACAAGAGCACTATGCTATGATGAGGGTGCCACTCTCATCTAACCCTAATTATCTCCCAAAGGGCCATCTCCAAGTCCCATCAGGGGATTGCATATTGGGGCATCAGGGGTTAGGGCTTCAACACATGAATTTACAGGGCAGCACAAACATTCAGTCCACAACAGTCTGTAAGGTGGAAAACCAGGAGAAAGAGAAAATTAAGTATAGGAGATACTGTGGTCTAGGGACACACAGCCCTGTGGGGACACAGCAGAGGTGGAACCAGCCGTGGTTGGAGAGAGCTGGTGGGAGAGAGCTCTCGGTCAAGTGAGGGCAGCGTTCCGAGATGTTTACAGTTTGGGAGGCAGATCTCAGCATTCGCCCTCATATCTTCGCCTTTACAATCTATCAAATATATTCTCCTTATTTATCAGGGGAATAACAATAATAATTTCCTTGTGGGTCATTTTTGAATGTTAACTGAGAAAATAAAGATTAAGTTCTGGTAGGAAACCCAAAGACAAACAAGAATTAACCAGGACGAGTGAGCTTGGGGGTTCCCAGCTCATTTATCCAGAACTCTGTCAGTGATTTAGAAACAGCCATGAGACAGGCTCTGAAGTGGGGTTCCACTTCTCATGACAGGGCTCCAGTACATGACCACGCCCATCAAAGAGAGCAGGTGGGCAGGTTGAAGAGGTTTCTCCCTTCAGCTCTCCACGTTGGGGGTCTGCTGTGACAGCTCCCCTCACTGGTTGCCCCCTTTCCTGGTTCTGATGGTCACCGTGTGGATGAGGAAACAGGGACTCATTGAGGATTTAGCCCCTTGGTGGAGAACATAGAATCCAGACACAAGAAGTATATAACAAGAAGCTGTCGGACGCTAGCAGTTAAGGAGCCCATGTTCACGGAACCGGAAGTGTCTAGCTCAGGGACCATAAAACTACAGACAGCAGGATCTGCAGACTTGGAGTCATTAAATCTCAGTGATGACTCAGAGATGCCAAGAGTCTGGGCACTTGGGTCCTAAGATTGTGCATGCAAGAGTGACGATCCCGGATGTGGAAGTTCCTCAGGGTAGGAGGGGTGGCCTAAGAAGTGAAATGGAAGGAGGGGTATTGGGGAAGGAGTGGACAAAAGGAGTGAGTGGAGGGGCATTGGGGCTGCTTGGGGCTGCACGAACCTTGGAAGGACCCAGCTGGGCCACTCAGTCTTCCTCTGGGGCATTCTGGTGTGGGAGTTCGAAAGACCGATAGTGAGATGAGGCCAGGGCCCTGGGAAGAAGTGCGTGGGAAATTGTGTGAATGAGGATGGGAAAGTTGGGGAGAAGGTGAGGTGACCTGATTGGAATTGGGTTGTGTTGGAAGAGACTGGTATTGGGGGACCTGGGGAGTCACTGGGGGGATGAGGAGAAAGTGAGGGTTACAGGTAGTTGGAGAGAGACTGCATCAGGGGTAACTGCAGGCACAGAGAGGGGCAGGGTAGGATGGGAGACACCAGGAGGGACAGAGGATACAGGGAGATGTGCAGGAATGGGGAGCTCAGAGGGCTTGGGGCTGTGGGACGGGGGCTGCGTAGGTCTGAGGCGGTACAGCAAATGGAGGAACAGGAGGGGTGGGGGTGATAAATTGGGGAGGTCTGGGGGCCTGAGGGAAGTGAGGAGAGCTGCCTGGACTGGCAAAACTCAGGATATGCTGAAGATTATGGACACAGCAATCCGGGATGGACAGAGGTCCTATGGTTCTCAGGTGATTGGGACCACTGAGTATAAACAGGGTGGGTGACAGGGACAAGTATGAGAAACTGGAATGTGTGGTTGACAAAGAAGGGAGTGAAGTACAAGAATCCTGAAAGAATGAAAAGGAGTGAGGATTTAGAGAGGAATTAGAGTAACTTTGATATGGAGTGGAGTTTGGGAGGGAGACAGGAAGGCTTGAGGGGTCTGGCTACCTGATAGGGCTCAGGGGGCCAGGTGAGGGGCGGAGAGGCTGCTGCTGGAATGCAGATGAGGGAGAGCATGGAGAGAATGGGCAGGCTGGGCCAGCAAGACCAGGGAGAGAAGCAGCTGATGGGCATTTGAAAGAATCAGAGTGTTCCCACTGCTCTTTGGCAGCTGGGGGCAGGGTGATTCTGGGCTTCACAGAGGTGACTGAACTAGGGAGCTTGGAATGGGAGAGAAAATGGGACAATTAGGGGACAGGCAAGGGGTTTGGATAGGGTGGACGTGGCATATGTAGTTGGACTAGGGAGATAAAGGTAGGAGAACACAGTGATGGTTGCAGGACAGAGAGGGGAAGGAGGTGGAGAAAAGGACTGAGAAGTGGTGAGAAGAGGGGGGAGCCTGGAGGAGCGAGGTGAAGAGACCAGTCTCAGGAGTTTCTCCAAGAAAAGAGGAGGAAGGAGCAGTTGTGCCCACACCTCTCTCTCTGCCCCCTCATCCATGGGTAGATGTGCCGTGTAATGCCTTCGAGCAACTGTTGTTGCGATAATGAATACAGCACTGACTCCTTCTTCGGAGAGAACACAGGATGGTTTTCTGATTTCAAAGCAATGCAGGAAAAACGCAGAACATTGGAAATGTTTGAAAAGCACAAAGACAAACTAAATGCCAGGAATCTCACAGTGAAAATATCATGGTTGACTTGATGTGCATGTTTCTCTCTGTCTCTCGCTCTCGTACTTTGACTTCCTGTCACCCACACTGAAGTGGGTAACACCCCCTGGGGCACACTTGGTTCTCATCCCCTCCAGGTTGTTCTGAGGCCAAAGAGCCTGGCGTGGAGCTGGTCCAGGAGGCTTCTGCTCATGTCGACTACCACTCACTCAGAAGCCACCACTGGGAGGGTGGAACCCTATGAGTGAGGTCAGTGTTCGCCAGCTCCAGGCACTCCTCTGATGGCGTCATGATTTCTGCCACACATGATGTCCTCTGTCAGTTACATTTATCTTTACCCTGACTCTCAGGTTTTTTCACTTAGCATTATCCTAAGCAATCACCAATTTTCTTCTTCAATATACTTGAAATTAATCCGAGTTCATAAAAATTGAGAAAAGCTACATCTATATAACAACTAACATCTCAAGGATTATATCTTGGACAGAAGATTTTAAGGGTGCTCATTTCTTCCATAGCACTCACCTCCGTTTGTGCTGAGCTCCGTTCCTTTGTGCAATTGCTAACTCACACATGTCTCTCTCACCACATTTCTGCTCTAAGGAGTTAGAACTGTGTGTGTTTTGCGTCCCCACTGGGTATCGAGTGCCAAGCACATAGCACAGGGCCAGACTCATGGGAAGGGATCTATCACCATTTGCTAAGTGACCAAATAGATTATTTACACATCAAACAACTCTGTAAGCAAAGTAGCTTTTACACCCACTTTAGGGTGAAGAAAATGAGGCTTAAGGATAGGAACTAGTTTGTCCATGTTCACGCAGCCAGCACGTAGCAGAGCCAGGATGTGTCCCCATTGTAGAGAGACTGCAGATAAACACAAATGCTCAAAAATGCTGCTACCCAGAGACAATGCCTGAAAGGAGGGTTGACAGGAAATGAAGTTGGACAGTCTGCGTGGAGTGGTACTGGAAGCAATCTGCATGCTGGGAAAGGAGGAGTTTGGGGTTTATGCCATCTGCCTTACAAAGCTATCTGGAGCTTTCAGACAGGAAAGTGATTTATCCTTCTGAGGATTGTTGTCTTTACGGAGAGAGACGAGTGAAATAAAGAGACTGGAAAATGGTAAAATGTGTTTCTGTTCCCACACCCAGAGATGACGCCATCCTCTAGAGTGAGAATCAGAGAAGTCAGGGTTTGAGCATCACCAGCCACAGACAGAAGTAATTATTCACCTACATGGCTTTGTTGCTTTCTTTTTAATAATTTTTGTGTTTGATGTTTTTATTTTTCACTGTACAAAAAATTCAAAAATTGCTTCTTGGTTAAATCATTTAAACACCACAGAAGTCTATAAATTGAAAGTTTCTCCTCACATCCCATTTCTGACCCATCTCTCCCTGCAGACACACACAGTCATTCTTTCTACAGTTCCGTCCTGTTTACAGTTTATATCTGTCCTTCTAGTCATTGTTTTTATGCATGTACACACATATCCCTCTGAGTCAGGGACTAATGTTCAGGATGTGGTGCTCATAATGGAAGGAGATGATCCTTCACATACTACACCAGAGGTCAGCAAGCCTTCTGTAAGGGCCCAGACAGGAAATATTTTCAGCTTTGTGAGCCATCCAGTCTCTGTCACAATGTCAACTCTGTGGTTGTAGCAAAAGCAGCCACGGACAGTAGACAAACAGCTGGATGTGGCTGGGTGCTCCTTAACTGCTGGCATCCGACAGCTTCTGGTTATATACTTCTTGTGTCTGGATTCTATGTTCTCCACCAAGGGGCTAAATCCTCAATGAGTCCCTGTTTCCTCATCCACACGGTGACCATCAGAACCAGGAAAGGGGGCAACCAGTGAGGGGAGCTGTCACAGCAGACCCCCAACGTGGAGAGCTGAAGGGAGAAACCTCTTCAACCTGCCCACCTGCTCTCTTTGATGGGCGTGGTCATGTACTGGAGCCCTGTCATAAGAAGTGGAACCCCACTTCAGAGCCTGTCTCATGGCTGTTTCTAAATCACTGACAGAGTTCTGGATAAATGAGCTGGGAACCCTCAAGCTCACTCGTCCTGGTTAATTCTTGTTTGTCTTTGGGTTTCCTACCAGAGCTTAATCTTTATTTTCTCAGTTAACATTCAAAAATGACCCACAAGGAAATTATTATTGTTATTCCCCTGATAAATAAGGAGAATATATTTGATAGATTGTAAAGGCGAAGATATGAGGGTGAATGCTGAGATCTGCCTCCCAAACTGTAAACGTCTCAGAATGCTGCCCTCAGTTGACTGAGAGCTCTCTCCCACCTGCCCACTCCAACCACAGCTTGTTACACTTCTGCCGTGTCCCCACAGGGCTGTGTGTCCTTAGACCACAGTATCTCCTATACTGCATGTTCTTTCTCCTGTTTTCCATCTTGCAGACTGTTGTGGACTGAATGTTTGTGCTGCCCTGTAAATTCATGTGTTGAAGCCCTAACCCCTGATGCCCTAATACGCAATCCCCTGATGGGACTTGGAGATGGCCCTTTGGGAGATAATTAGGGTTAGATGAGAGTGGCACCCTCATCATAGCATAGTGCTCTTGTAAGTAGAGACATCAAAGAGTTTCGTTTCTCTGTCTCTTCAGGCTTGAGCTGGACGAAAAGGCCATGCGAGGACACAGTGAGAAGGTGGCCATCTGCAAGCCAGGAAGAGAGCTCTCACCAGAACCCACCCTGACAAACCTTGCTCTTGGCCTTCCCAGTCTCCAGACCGGTGAGAAAATAATTTCTGTTGATTAAGCTGCTCAGTCTGTGGTTTTGTTATGGCAGCCTGAGCTGACCAATCCACAGGTCCTCACGACTCCGGGATCTGGGGATCTCGTCTGCCTTGTTAATTTTAGTTTCTTTCAGTTTAGCATGATGCCTTTCCAAAGAGTAAGTGCTCACTGAATATTTGAAGAGTGAATGAATAAATTGGTGTACGAGGAGCTCTGATGAATTTCCTAGGATGGGAGTCCGCAGCGACTCACGGGTTAAATTTGCCTCGCTGCCTGTTTCTGTGCAGCCCACAAACTAAGAATAGTCTTTACATTTTTACATTGCTGAGAAAAGTCAAAAGAAGAATGATATATCTTGTCACATGAACAGTGCATAAAATTCAAATTTGCTCTCCATGTGTAGTTTTATTAGAACACAGCCATGAGCATTCAATTTTGAGTGTCTATAGCCGTTTTCATGCTACAGTGGCAGAGTTGAGTTGTTTCTGTAGCTATCTGGCTGTGATGGTTAATTTTTGTGTCCTCCCTGGGGCGCAGGACGCCCAGATGGCTGGTTTAGTGTGATTTCAGGGTGTATCTGTGAGGTGTTTCCAGAGGAGAGTAGCGTTTGAGTCCATGGCCTGTGTGATGCAGATGGCCTTCTACCGTGAGGATGGGCATCACCCGAACCACTGAGGGTCTGCATAGAATAAAAGATGGAGGAAGTTGAATTGACTCAGGCTGAGTGCTGGAGCTGGGGCATCAGTTTCCTGCCCTTGGTGCTCCTGGCTCTCAGGCTTTCAGGCCCAGATGTTAATCTACTGCTCCCTGGTTCTTAGGCCTTCAAACTACACCACCGGCTTTCCTGGGTTCCAAGATGGCCAGTGGCAGACTGTGGGACTTCTCAGCCTCCATTATCAAGTGAGTCAATGCCTCATAATAATTCTTTTCATATTTCATATTTATGTGTTTGTGTGTGTGTGTGTATCCTATTGGTTCTATTTCTCTGGAGAACCCTGACTAATACACTGGCCCACAAAGCCTAAAATATACACATCATGATCTGAGCTTTCAATATATCTGAAGCTTTGTGTGAGGATGAATGGAGATGGAGTCTGTGAAATAGTTCATACTTCAATTGTCCAGCCGTAGGACTTGGTTTATAGGAATCTTTCAGCCACTGAGTCAAGTCCATGAAGGAGGGCCTGTTCTCTCCTGATCTCTGCCTTGGACATGGCGAGTAATCAATATTTTTGAATGAGTGAATAATTAAATTCATAGAAAACAGAACAAAAAAAATTTAAAAATCCAGACTATGGTGTGAACATTCCCGATCTTTTGGATGTTGTTGGTTTGAAAATACCTTCAGGCTGGTGTTCCTGCTCATAGAATTTTGGCATCTGGAAGAGTGTTTGTAGGAAGGAGAGGCTTCAGAAAAGGGCTTAACCCAAAGATACCAAAGAACTGGCCCTCAGCTGGCCTTTTCTGTGTGGAGTGCTTTCTGAGCATACTGTGGGGCACAGAAAAGTTCTAGATTTCACAGGAATCGAGCATGAGCATGTCCACCATGACTCCATTCACATTGCTGACACGATGGGTTTCTGGAAACACACTACAAAGTCTTCTTTATCTTCTCCTAATGGCTCAAAGAATAACAGTCCTGATTTTCCATGGGAGAAGAGGATATAGTTCAAAAGATCTTTTCAATTCACCTGGAGAGATAATATTTTAGAGATGATATATAAGACTATAGAAAGATAACAAAAGTTTGCTTTGGGAAAAAACTAATTTAAGATGTCTTTAATCACAGAATTTCCTTTCCAGATGCATTTCTCAGGGGAAGATCAAAAGGCCGTATCAGACTGCATTCTGCTAGACCCTGGTCTTTCTCAGAAGTCCCATCTCCCTACATTTCCTAATCCCCAAGTTACAGAAGATAACAGCAATTAAATCTGCTCCAAAATATAATCTATGTGTTTCCTTATCCTTCTGCTTCAGGATTTGTGAAATATTACTTTGTGCATGCAGTCATATAAGACAGAAGCTGAGAAATGCATGAAATGTGGGAAAGATTACCTATAGTTATTCACCTAAGATAGAAAGGAAAATGTATTAAATTATTTTCATTCCCTTATTCTTTCCATCTGCAATGTGAGTTATTTAATCCTGGATGCACAGGAACCTCAGTGTAATTTCTGAAAATTAGTTGGGAAACTCTCCTGCTTATCTTTACTCAAAAACTTTGTCAGTACTGTTCTCCAGGAAATTACTCAGGCCTCTGCAGAAGAGAAAATATTTTGTTTCCCTTGAATGAAACTGCAGGAAGCCATGGAAGAGATGACAAACGAGAGGGAGACACCTTTACATCTTTACACAATGGAGACACCAATTTTAGGAGATCACAGAAGGTAAAATTACATTAACCAATGGAATTTCTTGGTCTTTTGCCCATAGATAATACATATACATGATGATATTACTTGAATTTTGGAAGGCTTCATTAGCTATCTGATGCCATTGCTGCATTTCTCTCACAGAACGTGTACGTTTCTTTGATTCACTGTGTATATCAGCTCTGGGCAGGAGGGAAATTGGTGGGGTGAGAGGATGGTAAATATTTGTTCTAATATCTCTACTATGAGGGAAATTTTGATGGCTCTACAATAGGCAAGCTAAACCTATGTACAATAAGTATGGTAGAGAGAATAGTGATCCCCCAAAGATGCCCACATCCTCATCTCTGGATTTGTAAGTATGTTACTTTACATGAAAAAACAGATTTTGCCGAAATAATTATACTAAGAATCTTGAGATGGGAAGATTATCCAGGTGAGCCAATGTAATGCCTAGGGTTTTTATAAGGGAAAGGAGGAGGCAGCAGAGTCAAACAGGGGAAGGGGATCGAGTGAAAGAAGCAGAGGAGAGAGAGGCAGAGAGACTGAAGATGCTACACTGCAGGCTGTGATGATGGAGTGGATCAAGGGGCCCCTAGCCAAGAAATGCAGGCAGCCTCTAGAAGCTGGAAAAGGTGAGGAAACAGATATTCCCCCAGAATTTCCAGGAGGAACGCAGCTCTGATGACACCTTGATTTTGATTTCTATGACCAATTTGGGAGTTTCAACTTCTAGAGCAGTGAGATAAATTTGTGTTGGGTTCAGCAGTAAGTCTGTGGTAATTTGGTCCAACAGCAATAGAGAATAAATACATTCAAAGTATAGATGTGGAAGAATCAGTTTTCTGGGATTCTGGAGTGAGGGCAGCTCCGATTTGGTTGAGGGACTCCTGGGAACTAGCTCCCAGGGATGAGGATACGGCCTCGCTGAGGCTGAGCTGACTCAAGAACACGAGGGACAGGTACTGTTAGCATCCCTCTAAACAGAAAGGCGTGGATTACTTGCTATGTTCTTCCTGAATGAGTGCAAACCTCGAGTGAGACAGGCCTGTGGTACAGCGAGAATTGAGCCTCTCAGATCCATGGGACCCTCCCTTACGTGTTCAACATCAGCTGTACTGAGGGATGCTGCATTCGCTCCTGCTCAGTTACATTGTGCATCCTTGGACGAATCAACATTTACTGTTGGGGGCATGTTCATCCCCCTCCCACCAAAGCACGATTCACTTGAAAGCCTCAAATGGAAGCAATTCATTAGTTCTGATTGGGCGAGAGTCTGAAAACTGTCTTATTTGTACATGAGAGATGCAGGGGGCAACTGAGGACTTAAAATGTTTCTCAGTTTGGCCAAGTTCAAATGGCAAGTACTTGGTGGAGCTGCTATTTCATTCCAGATCTGTTTCAGTCTGGGAACCAAGATCTACACAAAGCTCTTTGATCATAAAGAAATATTAGGGTGTTAACAGGTAGGCATGATGATTAATAACAAAACTATAACTAAGGCAGAGAATTATTTTGAAATTCCAAAGAGAAAGAGGCACCTTAAACTGATCAATAATTTAATCTAATATTCTACCTCCATCATGATGGAAGTTCATTCATTCATTCGTTCATTTGTTCAGTAAGTAACTTGGGAAGTGTTAGACGTGGAGAGAGATTGAAAACAAGACAGTTCCTGCCTCTTCTGCAGCTGCAGTTTCTTCGTTCATTAATGTGATCAGTCATGCAGCAATTATGCGTTGAGCATTTCTACAGGCCTGACCCTGTGTGAAATGCTGATGATACAATAGGAAGGAAAAGCAGCATGGTGCCTCCTGCAGCTCAGATCTAGAGGGAAGACAGATATTAACCAGATAGTGAAAAACCAGAATGAAATGACTCTGACAGATGCTCTGCAGGAAAGGCACAGTGGCTATCAGAGTGAAAAACCAGAGACTCTGACATATTCTGAGCAGGCAGAGAAGGCTTCTTGGAGGAATTGACACATGAGCTGAGATCTGAAGGCCTATATAGTTTTGAGTCAAGGAAGATGTAAGAGTGTTTCAAGAAGAGGGAATATATGCAATGCCTTTGTTCCAAAGAGGCACAGTGAATATAAAGAATTCAAAGAAATCCCATGTGGCTGGAATCATGGTGAGTATGTGGCAGACGAAGCTGGAGAGGTAATCAGGAGACAATCCAAGCAAATTCTCATTGATTATGGATTTGGGGTTTGATCCTACTAGTAATGAGTTTAACAAAGGAGTGACATGATTTTATTTGTGTTTTGAAAATATCTCTCAGGCGGCTATGTAAAGGATGCATTGGAAGGTGACAAGAGGAGAAAAAGGTGGTCAGTTGGGAGGATAGTGCAGTTGTTCCGGCAAGTGAAGATGGCAGCCTGCCCAAGGAGAGGGTGATGGTGATTGAGCCAGCTGGACATATTGGGGACAGATTGAGAAGATGAGAACAACAGGATTGGGGCCGGCCCAGTGGCATAGTGGTTAAGTTGGTGCAGTGGGCTTCACCAGCCTGGGGATTCACGGGTTCAGATTCTGGGGGCAGACCTACACACTCTCATCAAGCCAAGCTGTGGTGACATCCTACATAGGAGAACTAGAGGGACTTATGACTAGGATATACAACTATGTATTGGGGCTTTGGGGAGAAAAAAAAGGGAAGAATGGCAACAGATGTTAGCTCAGGGTCAATTGTCTTTACCAAAAAACGCATACCTAAAACCCAAAAAGAACAGCATTGTATAGCGGATAGGTTGTGAAGTGAAGTAGGATCATTGTTAAGAGTAACTTTCAGAGCTCAAAGATGTGCCACATGATGGATGCAGTGCCATTTAGAAAGAAAGACACCATGGGAAAGAACTGGATTAGGATAAAGATTGCAAGTCTTATATCGGAAGGCTGAGTTGAAAGTGCCCTTGAGATATCAAAAATGTCAAATAAGTAAGTGGAGATATTGCTCTAGACCTCAGAGGAGAGTTCAGATCTAGAGAAACATACAGAACCATCATTTGCATTCAGATGTGACTGAATCTAAGGAATGGGTGCTATCGTCTAGGAGGAAAGAAATTAACGAGAACTGAAGTTCTTCTGGAACCAACACATTGGATAGAGCTATAAAGGAGACAGAGAGAAAACCTACAGAGAATGGAAGGAAGACATGGGGGGTGTGTAAGGAGAATCTATAGGGGATAAGGATGGAGAGTTTCGTGAGAAAGTAGTGATAGATGGCGTCAGAAGTTTCTGAGAGGGCTTTTAGGGACACGGAGATCACTGTAGGTCTAAGAGATATATGTCTTGGTGGAATCATGGGGGAAAGAAGCCATATTTGCATGGGCTTAGGAAGTGAGTTTAAGGCAAGGAAATGGAGACTGAGAGATAAGTTAACTCTTGACTGGTAGCTAGAAGGGGGCCAAGTAGCACATGTTTGCAAAATGGAAGACAACTAAACTTGTTTATGTAACTTTGGGAAGAAAACTGTTGAGAAGGTGAGGGAAGAAATGAGGGATGGAGGGAGGAAGAGAAAGAGAGAGAGAGAGAGAATGTGTGAACAATAATGTGAGGATAGTTGATAAGGCAGGAATGATGGGATCCAAAAAACAGGTGGAAGCATTGTCTTCAGAGAAGAGAAGGGAATTGTGTCGATGACACAGGAATGTGGAGGGGATGCACGCTGACGTTTGGTGGCTATAGTGGATTGTGTGAAATATGCAAAGTATTGTAATGACTTTGATTTTGTCTGTGAAATAGGTGATGAGAACATTTTTGAGAAAGGGGGAGGAGAGAGAAGATTGAACAATGGAACCAGTGCTGGGTGAACAAGGTAACAAGAGAAATGCACAAGGACTTCCTGGCAGAATCCTAGACTCCTTTAAATGGAAAGGATGACTCAAGGGATTTCACAGAAGATGGAAGAGTTGAGAAAACATAGGTGAAAGGACTTGTAAGTTTAAATCACTAAGTGTTGGTTCTTTGTAATCACTCCTGTGAATTATCCCATGCCATTCCTGCTTTTCCCTTGTGGTTTTGCACAGGGTGCTGAAAATATGAGGAAGTCTTTTTAAGAAAGTCTAAAATGCCAGCTAACACTTATGTCTGTTTAATTTATAAATATGTGCATCATTTCCTTCCATTTCCCCCTTTTTGTGAGTGCTGCTGAGTGACTGTAAGAAAGAAGTGTGTGCAGAGAAGGATAGAATAATGTGGCTCTGAGTAGAACGTGCATCACCACTTTGGATCATTGATTCTTGCTTATCTAGTTAACCAAGCATGGCACATAGTAGGTGTTCAGTAGGAGTGGTGATGCAAAAAAGTCAAGATGAACACAGTTCCCTAAGGAGTAAAAGCAAAATATGTTTTTAAAAATAAACGTTTAACCTGAGACCACTGCTAATGGTGAACGAGTCTGGGAGTAAGCAAAATGTGAGCCAGCCTAGGGCATGACCTGCTGTTCACCCAGGTTGTCCAGTGTGATAGGCATGTGCTGCTGAAGCAGATCAGTTGGTGAAGTATTCTGGGAGCAACGCATGATCATACCATGAAGGGTCTGGATGCATCAGACATAGTCCTGCTGGAAAGCGTGAAAGTCTCAGAATCAGCTTTGGTTTTCCTGACCCTTTTGAGCCATTTCCCGTATTGTTCCCGAACCTGCCGAGGAAAAGCATACTCTGGATCAGCTCACTGAGAGGGGTGAGGATGGGAAGAGTCCTGGGCGGCAGTTGGATAGTGGTACCTGCTGGCTAAGGAGGCAGTACACCAGGAAGATGGAGACGCCCTGCAGGCTGTTGATGATGGTGAAGAAGTAGGCCATGACGTGGGCAGCTGGACCCACCTGCAGGATTCCCAGACACCACGTGCATCCCAAGATGAAGAGCTGAGCTGTAGCTTTAAAAGTCAGCATCCTGTGGAGGAGGAGAAAGGAGGCTCCTAAGGCCCCCAGAGCAAGAAATCCAATGCCATTCACATCTCCACCCCACGGATGCTCCTGCCTTCCTCTGCTGGTGATGAGTTCTCAGGCTGCGCTGTGATCATCTTTGATCTTTGATTCCCCACAATGGAAATGGCACTCAGGTACAGGAGGGCAGCTTGATTTAGATGGAGGACGATAGTGATACTTCAAATGTAAGCTTCAAAAATTTTATGACGCTCCACAGGGATCCCTATTTTCACTCAGCCAACACTACTGAGGAGGTACTGTGCATCGGGCTCTGTGCTGGGGCCTGGGCATTAAAAATAACAAAGGCAAGATTCTATTTTCATTTGGAAAGGATGACGATAGGAATATGGAAGAAAAAGCGTTAAATTTGCACAAGGGTTCCTGGAGCAAAGGGCTGCCCAACCTCCTAGGTTTGATGTTGACTAGGATTTTTCCAGAGAAGGAAATGGACAAGGGGTGAGAAGTAACCTGAGCTGATGGTGCTGTGTGAAAGTGTAGGCTGGTGTGGGAGCAGGCACAGAGTTTTCTAAGTGCTTCATGGGAACATAAATCTTCTTTGCACTTTTGTCATGGGACTGCTGATAAAAGTCCAAAGAATGTTTATCAACCAATGTCAATTCTTCCTGCTGCTGAGGGAGGAACAATCTGGGATTAGAGATGGATGGAACGTTTTGGCTAGAGTGTCAGCCACACACCCCTGAATCTTAGCTGGCTGCCACAGAAGCATAGCTGGGTCTGATTACTCTGGGTTCTCAGAAGACCCTGAGAAGGGGCAGCAGGGGCTGCTGAGGCACATGGCTTCACTCTTGGTACCATACGTGGCTGTGGGCTGTCACCTTCTCCTCCGGCTTACCTTGTGTTCTGGAGGGTGGACACATCACTGTTAAGGAGAGAGAGCCTGCTTTTCAAAATCCAGAGGGTCATCAGAAAGAAAGCTAAGTTGACCTTCAGGAAACCACAGAAGGATTATTGATTAAATTTCAATCATTTTCTGTATCCTAGCCCGTCCAACATCAATTCCACATAGTTTTCATATTTCCTAACAGTGTTAGAGTTTGTAGTTTTGGGGGCAGTCTTAGAAAACCAAACTGAAACCATGACAACCCAAGGACATTCTGGCTCACCCACCCCCTTATAATTCTGCCCTTGTAATGACCCTCAGGTGAGCATGAAGGATGCTCTGAAGTCATCACTCACAGAGAAGATGGCACAGACTGGTCCAAGGAAGCCCCATATAAATCCACTTTCTGAGCGGAGCCAGCAGCTGATCAAGAGAGAGAATAGAAAATACATGGGTCCTTAGGGAAATAGAAGAACAAGGTAAAGACATCCCTTCATCCTTCAACAAATACTGAGTGTCTTGTCTGTGATAGGTGTTCTGCTTGGCTCTGAAGATACAGCAGCGAGCAAAGTAAACACCGTTTTAAGCCCCTGAAATCTCACATCAGTAGGAGGCACACAGTGAGACACACTGTGACAATAAACAAAATGTGGGGCGATGAGAATGTATCATAACTGTCCCACTTAGTTCTGGTCCTGAGAGATTAGGATGGTTAGTGAAGATTCCCCCCGGGAATTACAGGGTAGTTGAGATATGAACAACAAGTGGATGTCACTGAGATAAACAGTGTTGAAGTAGGGGAGAAGTCTGTAAATTCTTTAGGTTCACAGGACTCTAGTTTTCAAGGGTCCTGTGAACCTAACATGGTTTCAGAGGGTTTTTCCTGCGGTTTCAATTTGTTTATCTTTCACCTGCTGCAAAACCCATCCACTGAGTCTAAAAACATTTTTGTGGCTTTATTGAGACATATTTCACACCAGTAACATTCGCGGATTTAAACTGTGCATTCAGTGATTGTTAGTATATTCAGAGTTGTGCAACCATCACCACAGTCTAACTTTAGGAAATTTTCAGTTCCTCAGAAAGAAACTTCAGAGTGATGTCAGCATCATGATGGAGTGAGTTATTCCCTTTGTCTTCCCTCTAAGTTACAACCCACTGGAAAATCCATTGATGGACAGAGACTCCGTACACAGCGTTACAGGATGCCTGAGAGATCCACGATCTATACATCTGAAGGTGGGTGGACTGGACCCCAAGGACGCAGAGGAACTAGGGGAGCAGCCCCTTCTCCCTCCCCTCACAGCAGCAATCCAGGCAGGGGTCCTCACACCTGTGCATGTGCAAATGAGCACACGCTGTGGGGCAGAAACTAGAGGCACAGGGTGGTCATTGCCCATCCCCCTGTGGATCCACTGTATGTGCCTGCAAACAGAGACTGTGGGAGATGAAGCACCAGACATGGCTTGGTCCCTGCCCCTCCTCTAGTTGAACTGGTATATGTCCCTGTGAGCAGACACTGCAGGGGCAGAAACAACAGGCATGACTTACCCCTCCTCCCACACTGAGCACTGGCAGGCGGTGCACACACGTTGAGAATTCAGGACACGGAGGGGACCCAGTGACCCAGCCCCGTTTTCCCTTCCCTGGCAGTGAGGACAGAATACAAAATTCGGATTTTCCTGCCTGGATCAGGTCACTGTGACCTGAGTTTTCAAAATATACCAGCGGGCACTGGAGACTAAAGGATGCATGAGTGATCAGCAACAACAAACTTTCTCTGCTTAGCTCCTGCTCTCCACAGCCAGTGGAGAGTATAAATTGTGACCAGAGGCTGCAGGAACCACAAGAGAACCAGTGACCCAGCCCCAGTGGTGGCACCCACAACAGTGCATCCACCTGCATCAGGGGTTGCAAGAAAAGTCCCCAGGTCCCCAGGCCACCAGCAGTGACACTGACACTGGTGAACCCAGGACACCTCAGACAAGCCATGAGCAGCAGCACAGGAGGTGCACAGGGCAGCAGCATCCAAGCCCCTGGAGAACCTGTGGGGGAACATGAGGCCCAGGTGACCCCAGAAGCAGCAGAAGTGCTTGCAGCCTGGTGATCCTGGTGGGAACATCTGAGACCACAGCAGCATCACAAGCAGCAAGGCCCCAGCCACCTCAGAAGCACAAGTGGCACAAGGAAGAGACAGACAATGCCCCTGGCAGGGGCAGTGGAGTGTGGAAAGTGTGGGCTCAAATACCACCAGAACCAGCTCAGAACCAAAGTAACCAAAGCCATACCCAAATAAGAAAGGTGTTTACTCCCACAAATGCGCTGGCAGAGGATCAACTCATTAAGCACTCTGAAGAAGTACAGTAACACTGAAGGACGGAAAGAGGATGACAACCCTCCAAAACCAAACGTGAAGTCAAAGAAGATTGCAGTCTAACTGAGACAGAATTCAAAATAGCTGTCATGAAGAAACTCAGTGGGTTACACAAAAACTCAGAAAGACAGTTCAGGGGCTCAGGAATAAAATTAATGAACAGAAAGAGTAATTCATCAGAGATAGAACCTATTAAGAAAAATGAAACAAATTCTGGAGAAGAAGAACACAATTAATGAGATAAAAAATAAAGTAGAAAGCATTAAAAATAGAGTAGACCATGTGGAAGACAGAATTAGTGAGCTCAAAAATAGAAAACTAGAACTGATTCAGATGGAGGAAGAGAGAGAGCTAAATTTGTTTACAAAATGAAGAAATTCTATGAGAAATATCTGATTCTATTAGGAAAAGTAACACAAGGATAATAGGTATCCCAGAAGGAGAAGAGAGGGAGAAAGGAGCAGAAAGTTTATTCAAAGAAGTAATACCTCAGAATTTCCCAAATCTGGAGAAAGAAGTGGACATATAAAACAAATAGAACTGGACGTATGAAGCAATAGGAACTGAGCATATGAAGCAAACAGAACCCCTAATACATCAATGTAAAAAGATCCTCTCAAAGGCATATGTTATGAAAATTGTCCAGAGTGAATGACAAAGTAAGAATAGGAAGGGCAGCAAGAGAGAAGATAACAATACACAAGGTTGCCCAACAGGCTTTCAGCAGAAACCTCACAGGCGAGGACAGAGTGAAATGATATATTGAAAACACTGAAAGACAACGGAAATGGAAATATAAAACAACTGGAAAATAAGAGATGAAATGAAGGAGCCAAGAACGTACAATGGAGAATGGAAAGTCTCTTCAATAAATGGTGCTTGGAAAACTGGACAGCCACATGCAAAAGAATGAAAGTAGACCATTATCTTTCACCATACACAGAAATAAACTCAAAATGGATTACAAACTTGAAGGTAAACTCTGAAACCATAAAGCTTGTGAAAGAAAATATAGGTAGTACACTCTTTGACACCAGTCTTAGTAGCATCTTTTTGAATACCATTTCTCCTCAGACAAGGGAAACAAAAGAAAAAATAAACAAATGGGACTACATCAGACTAATAGGCTTCTACAAGGCAAAGGAAATCATCAACAAAACGAAAAGACAACCCACCAACTAGGAGAAAATATTTGCAAATCATATACCTGCCAAGGGGTTAATTTCCCAAATACATAAAGAAGTCATGCAACTCAACAACAACAAAAAACAAACAAACCAAACAAAAAAGTGGGCAGAATATATGGAAAGACATTTTCCCAAAGAAGATATACAGATGGTCAAGAGGTACATGAAAAGATGTTCAATATCAGTAATTATTAGGGAATTGCAAATAAAAACTACACTAAGATACCACCTTACACCTGTTAAAATGGCTATAATCACTAAGACTGAAAAGAACAAATGTGGGAGAGGTTGTGGAGAAAAGGGAACCCTCCTACACTGCTGGTGGGAATGCAAACTGGTGCAGCCACTCTGAAAAACAGTATGGAGATTTCTCAAAAAAATTAAAGATAGAAATGCCATACGATCCAGCTATCCAACTATTGGGTATTTATCCAAAGAACATGAAATCAACAATTCAAAGAGACTTTGCACCCCTCTGTTCAATGCAGCAGTATTCACATTAGCCAAGACATGGAAGCAACCCAAGTGCCCATAAACTGATGAATGGATAAACAAGAGTTGGTGTATATATACAATGGAATACTACTCAGCCATAAAAAAGACAAAACTGTCCCATTTGCAACAGAATACATGACCCTGAGGGTATAATGTTAAGTGAAATAAGCCAGACAGAGAAATACAAACACTGCATGAGTTCACTCATATGTGGAAGATAAATAAACACATGGAAAAAGAGAACAGATTAGTGGTTATCAGAGGGGAAGGGGATGGGGTGAGGATGAAAAGGGTAAAGGGGTGCATATGTATGGTGATGGATAAAAACTAGACTATTGGTGGTGAGCATGATGCAGTCTATACAGAAACTGAAAACTAATAATGTACACCTGAAATTACACAATGTAATAACCAATATGACTTCAATAAAAATAATTTTTAAAAAATTTAAAATGCCACATTAAAATTGCTACCTGTATCTAAAACCAAAGGACTGAAAGCAATCTAAATGTCCATTAATATAGGGCTAGCTATTGAAATTATCAAAAATTTACAAATAAAATATTATGCATGTATAAAAGAGAATGGAGAAGCTCTATATGTATAGCTGAAGAACCTTCAAGATATGATGTTAAATGAAAAAAATCAAAGTGCAGAAAAAGCATATGGTATGCAACCATTGGTACTAAAAATATATTAAAAAGAAAAATATGTGATTTTATATTAACAAAATGCTTTTGATAGAAAAAAAGAAACTTCATTCTCATTAGCGGTCACACATTCTTACTGTCAGGCACCCCACTCCCACCCTAGCCCCAGAGCACCATTAATCTACTTTCTGTCTCTATGGTTTGCCTATTCTGGACATTTCACATGAATGGAATCTTAAAATATGTGATCTGTTATGACAGGATTCTTTAATTTAGCATATAATTTTCAAAGTTCAATCATGTTGCAGGATGTTTTCATGGGTGAATAATATTTTTTATTCTTTTTTAATGGCTAAATAATGTTCTAGTGTACGGCTATGCCGCCCTTTGTTTATTCATTCATCAGTTGGTGGACATTTAGTTTCCAGTTTCTGGCTATTTTGAACGATGCTGCTATGAGCATTCATGTACAAGTTTTGTGTGGACGTATGTTGTCATTTCTTTTGGGAATATAACCAGGAAAGGAATTGCTGGGTCATGTGGTAGCTATGTGTTCCAATTTTGAGAAACCATCAAACTGTTTTCCAAAGCAGCTGCACTATTTTAAATACCAGCCAGCAATGGGTGAGGGTTCCGCTTTTCCCACAGCCTTGCAAACACTTTCTACCATCTGTCATTTTTTTCATTTTAACCATTAAAACTAATGAGTGTGAAGTG